GAAACATATCAGTGGAGTAGTCAAAATAAACTTTACTTGCATTTTGTTTATTGGGGACTATACTATTGGAGGTAAATACGAAGGTGTTATTAAGATAATTCATTCGGCAAATCATCAATGCACGTACAAGTGGGCGGTTTTATTTGTACCACAATGGACTCAATTCAGTTATATTTAGGTGATTGGTTGATTAATCCAACAAAACAATGAAAATATAGTCATGTAAGGCTATAATATCCTTCCCAAATTATGCCTTAGGTAAAATCTTTGTTATTTAGCTATTTTACGGTATAGAAGCTCTTTCAATGCAAAATTAGGAGAGTGTATTAAAATAGTCAAAAGAGCATTAACATAAGCGTGATCTGACTGATTTCATATGCATTCAGTCTACAAGGAAACGTCATTGTGTCAGTCATGCTAACAGGCAACTGCTGCTTTATAAAACGATTTTGAATGTATTTCTGTATAACTGCTTTAATATAGTAAGTACGGTTTTAGCTTGACCGCATCGCTAGGCTTGATTGCTGTTTTGATCATGATGTATGCCACCTATTCAATATATCAAGTAATCGATTAGAAGGAAAACTCAACGTAATATAGAATGACGCGAAGGACTCTACCGGATATTCGGATTTATTTTGCAGACGATGCTAAGACAGTGTTTCTGACACAAGGTAAATACAAATGGATGTTTTTAATAATGAAATTGTTGTAGATTTTGAATTTTTTTCTAGCGCACGCGACAGTAAACACATTGTAACAATAACAGTGTACTGACAATATTAATTGTGTGACTGCAGTAATAATTGTACGTACCTACATTCCTTTATGAATAATAGTCAACGAGAAATTAACGAGTTTAACGGGTGATAACGTAAAGATAGTAAGTAATTACGCTGAAAGTAGAAGTTGACACTGGATAAACATGAGTGGGACGCTGGTAATTCTATTTACGACAGGACAGATGGCCACTTGTGCTGACAAACAGTATTCCTATTAGTTTAGCATATTTTATAAAACTCCATGTCTATAAACGAACTGGATGTTTTTAATAATGAAATTGTTGTAGATTTTGAATTTTTTTCTAGCGCACGCGACAGTAAACACATTGTAACAATAACAGTGTACTGACAATATTAATTGTGTGACTGCAGTAATAATTGTACGTACCTACATTCCTTTATGAATAATAGTCAACGAGAAATTAACGAGTTTAACGGGTGATAACGTAAAGATAGTAAGTAATTACGCTGAAAGTAGAAGTTGACACTGGATAAACATGAATATGACGCTGGTAATTCTATTTACGACAGGACAGATGGCCACTTGTGCTGACAAACAGTATTCCTATTAGTTTAGCATATTTTATAAAACTCCATGTCTATAAACGAAGTTTCGGTCAAATATGGCCAATGACTCCTGCTTCCCACTCATGCATCTTATCGTCACATCATAGAAATATGCTAACTAAACTCCGAGAAATTCTAGTGTGACGTCATTCGAAACTGATTTACCTAAGACTGTAAGATGCTTAACTGAACAAAAGGATGTCATACTTCCTTATATTTTATTGTCCACGGCTAAGCTCGACAACAACAGACTACTTTTATCGCTGTCATACCACACGTTATAAGTTACAGATTGTTGTGTAGTTAATTACTTCAGACGTCTTTTCTTTCCATATCGTACATTAGGTTTTAGAAAATATAGAATTGTGTTTGGTGTAAAAGGAGTCTTTGAATATGTTAGAGACAGCACAAACTTATTGTTTACGTAAATAGGTAAGTGAGTATTCTTCTACTATTTGAAAAAAGCTGAGTAGTCAATATCAGTATACATAATCAAATTAGAAAAATCTCACATTCGAGACTTGCATTTTCTATTCTCTATTAGTCCAACGTACATTTTGCTATATGCTGGAGAGTTGAAACCATTGTTCGAGTAAATTGGTCATATTGTTTTCTGATCTAAAATATAAAGTCTTTCGACCACTATTTCGAAAATGGTTTTTAAATGAATCACTCCATTCAACGCTTTAGATTTGAATATAGTTGTCGAAATACTCTTTGTCAGTTAAATATTTTTATTCGAAATACTCTTTGTCAGTTGAATATTTTTATAAATTGTGCTGCGTTCAAAAGCGTGATACATTTCTTGTAGAACGCCATTGCCATTTACCTAACATCAAATTTAATCACTTCAAATGATGATTCTCAAAATTTAGTTTTTATTATTGTCTGATTCAAATTTGAATTAATGTTTACAAACAATATATTTGCAACACATTTTAAAAAGCACCGGTCTATTTTAGGTTTATTAAATACATTAATCAATAAGGATATTATATCACTGCTTATTTTTAGATCATATAATCATTTCCTGCCAAAACATCGAATCTCAATTGATTAAAATTGCGTAAACGTGTCAAGACCGGGTCCCTAATTACTTTGGTATCTTATAATATTAAAAAAAAACAATTATCATAACTTTTAAACGTGCTTATATACAATCATAGCATTTTGCATAAAAAATTTCCATTTTGTTCGCAATATGTTTGCTTTATTCTGAAAGGGATGTAGATCATATTTGTCTTGAAAATTACCATTCGTTTTTTGAGTCTGACACCTGTGGCGTAATATTATGTACAATCATGAATGAGGTAATTTTATCAAGTAAAATCTCATCTGGAAGGATATTATATCGGATTGCCTTGTTTCCAACAGCTCCATACACTAAGACGCCTCCTAGTTATATAATATATTTCATCGCGAATAGTAATAACTTTTGTTTTCTATATGATTTATAAATGGATATTATTTCTGTATCGTTTACCTACAATATCAGGGAATACACCATTTCCAAGCATTCTATTAATATCAGTGGGATTCCAAATTAATACAATATCACTTAAATTAGTTCTATTATATATATAATACAAACAGTCGAACACGTTTACTACTAAAACTTATTTTATTGCATGTCGCATAGACGTAATCCTATAATCATGGTAATTCTTATGCTGATACAAACAGCTGTTGGAGATTAGATGAGCTACAATCTATATCTGAATTCGTTAAAATGTCTTCGGCGAATAAAAAATGGACACTCGTTTTTTTAAATTCGTAAATTACGAGTACTATTGACTTTGCACTCGAAAATTCCGAGGACAATTTTTCACATGTGAGGTTGCAAATGCGGAACTCGCGCTCATGACCAGTGTTTGTTGATCAGGAACAATTACAGATCGTCATTTCATAAGTTTCAACAGATACAGTCATCTATCTATAACTGATCACTGAGTGGGCAACATTTATCGCGGTTAGCGGAAATGCTAACAAGAAATAATCAGAATAAGTTCAGGACTATGACAGATGTTATTCTTGACTCGTTGCCAAATAAGTTCATCATCCGTGTGCTTATAGTAGTCATACCAGGACACTTTTTTGAGCATTTTCCTGTAGCACAACGCTCAGTAATTGCAGCGTAGACGAGTTTTGACTTACGACTTACACAAATATGTTTGCGAAGTAGTAGTAAAAAATGGTCACTATGCTTTACTTGAGATGAGAAAAGCTTCATCCTGTTTAGAAGTATCTGCTATAAGTTGACAGAATCCAAACATTTTTGATAACGTTAAACGTATTCTGTGTATTGGTTTTCAAGCACATATTCATAAATCATTCTCAACTATAGAAAACCTTGCCAAGGTGTTAAACTTATGTTTTCAAAATCGTCGTAATGATTTATTTGATCTGTACCAAAAAGCTTGAGGATTTGTACCATTGAGAATACTTGAGAATACACGCTATATTATCGAGTGTGGGCCAGCGAATAAGGCAAGTAAACTAAAGACGATCCACCATTGGGCCAATCATAATTGGAAAGAGAGGTTTGTCGGACAATGGCCAAATATATTTACAGTTTTGCAAACATAGATTTTGCGCTAATTGATTTTCGCGTCGAATTTCACATCTTCTTGCCAATTAGACAAGAGTAAATCAAGGTACGTCAAACATTAGTAAAGGTAAAGTACGTGATTTGTAGTGCACTAAACTGCTAGTCTCGCTTGCTCATGAACGAACAATGGTGCAACTTATTTTGGGAGGTACTTTGATTTATTATTGCGGTAAGCGTTAGTTATTGGAAGGATATTCTATATACATATGTTTCAGTAGTGTTTTATCTTTGCAGTAACTTTTCAAAAAAAATCAGACTTTTCCTCGTGTTTTTTCCTTTTGTATTGGTTTGAAGTTAGTTGTCTAGGCTGATCAATTTTACCCGACAAGACGCTGAAATATAAAAAAAATGACCTTTATTCGACTGTCTAATGCGATATAACCAACAAAGAACAATATTTCTGAAGTTTACTTTTCTTTTTGTTTAGCTTCGTTTGGTTTGCCATAATCACAAGCTCAAATGATTCGTATGTTATCATACATAAAAACGGGGTAAAACAATAAATCTAGTTTGCTAAGATTAGACGACATTAAATTTGTTGCTTCAAAATCAAATTGAATTCATTTCTGGAGTTGCAGATTAAATAGTTCATATTGTAAATTGATTAGTCTTGTTCTGTTAGAATGCCCTCCTGTCTGATACACATACGCTGAACTAGTTCCAATTTGAGAATATTGTTCGCACCATTATGAATAATGATTTTGAAAATAACGGCCAACTTTAGTGTTATCAAAATTTGTTAGAGTGATATTTTACAAGTAGTAAGATAGTATAATTATATCGTTTCCAATTATTTCTATTATAAATTAATAGATTGTGTATGCTTGTATGAGCGGACGTGGCTGCATACGTACATGCGATACATTATCATGAGTCATTCCCAAGAAACATACCATAACGGCATAATCTAGTCATTAAAACAACGGAAAGCAGCGGCAACTGTATACTGGCTATATCGATGTGTGTCATTAGCTGAAAACTAGCGTTTAGCTGAATGAGCGCTCACTGTACTAATCGCAGATGTCTTATTTGTTTTTCATCAGTGCCCGTCAAGGACAAAGTAGCTTTGATGGAATCATGGAATCAGGGCCCTGAAGATCCGAAAAAGCCAAAGCCCAGGGTGCCTCCAAAGCGATCAACTTCAAACGCATCACGCTCAAACTCCGAGCAAAAGAGGGTACCATACAGAGCGCAAAACAGAGGAGCTACCAACCACGATTCCAGTACTCCAACTACAAATTCGGGAAATAATATGGCTAGTAATTCGAGAAGACTAAATCGAGATGCCAAACATCGTAGATCTATGTCGGATCCGAATCTTCAGAAGAGTTTTCAAGCAATGAAACAGCTTTGGGATCAGAAAGTTGAACAAAGTGAGTGTGCTTTTTTTATTACTTTTTATTATTGTTTATCAAGGCTGTGCGTGCTAAGAATAGGCATATATGACATTGGTACGTTAAAATTGATGATAGGTTTTAAAGGATAGTAGGTAAAATTGTTGTTATAATTTGGCAATAAACTAACTGTGTAACGTACCATATGTGTACCACAAACTGAGAATAGCAAGTCGAACCGGAAAATTACGGTCATTATATACGTGAGTGGTATACCGCTTTTGTAGAGCCTCTTCGGTGTAGAGGGGATGCAGAAAAATAATCCAATTCCACCCTCAGAACCCCGATACTGACAGATGTTCTGTGTTATTTTTGGGGCGGTAAAAGTTTGCTTATTCCTAACGGTAGGTGGGATGGCAGTATAAAATTCCAGAATTAACTTACTCTGTTGTGATTGTTCATGATTCCACGCGTTTGTTGCTTTGAGATGCGGATTATCTTTTTTAATGAAGATAGTATGTAACATACTATCAAATGTATTTCAACGATAGTTTAAGGATGAAGTATTATTTTAAAACTAAGGTTCGAACCCAAACAGGTGTGAAACGTATAAATTGATATGGTGACTTACCGTTGTTGTCGAGAAAGCTAATTGATATTTTTCCAGAATAAAAATGTAAAAAACTGTGAGTTTTGCTTAGTGAGATAATTTGGTTCAAAGTAGTTAATTTCAGAGAATTAGTTTAAGAAAATGTCCATTTGGTATTATCTTGTATACGATTTGACAATCATGCTTCAGAAATGCACATGCTCAAGTATACTATACGCCTAGATATAGAAAATTTTGGCAGCGATGTAATTGGATGTACCAGCAATGAGAACCTATATATAGGCCTATCCGGAGGTCCCATACAGAATGTGGGCATCGTCAGATGGAGCAGTTTAGTTTCAATTTAGTCCTCAATTTTTTAAAATCCGATTTTAACATTAGAAGGCCTAATTTTAATATGTGGACAAATTTTGTTACTTATGGGTATAAGGAGGTTCCTTGAAGAACCACGAGTTCATGACAAACATAAAACCCAGGCCCAATGTACTATCTTTATTTATTTTGAGGCTGACGGATTCATAATTGATATTGATACAGTCATACTGCCCACAGTATATTACATAAAATATCAATTAATTCAATAATTGTCACGCTATCGAAACAACCAATTCACCTGTATAATTATTTTGTTACGTCATGAAGGTTTTTAACTATTTACAAAAATGCTGACCTCCCCCCCCCCCCCCCCCCCCCCCTCATCTTGTCGCATATCTTTTGTCAAATTTATCGAGTGGCACGATATTCTTGAACCTATTTTTTTTATTTCAATAGTAAACACATCAGCTGATCGCGTAATTTATATTTTGATATACCTTTTAGATTTTCAATTCTAATCTATTCATATGAAGCAATAAACCTTTTTTAATTTAGATTGAAAACTATATGTGAACGAACACCTTATCAGGTTTATTGAACAAATCAATGCTCGTGTTATATTTTCATGACTAAATAACTATTGATAACTATATCATAACTATAAATATTCTAATCAAAGTTACTTCTTCATCAACTTTTAATTTATAGAGTAAATAAATTAGAACAGGAATGCTTCATTATAATGCTGCGTTGCATTCAGCAGTACGACAATAAAATATTATCAAAATAACACCTAATTCTGGATGTTTTATGATTGTGTCTGATGATGTGAGAATCACAGTCGATTATTGGATAATTTGATACATTTTGTAGTATAGGTCTTGTAGGTCGTTGCCAGTTTACAGTTTCATTCTGGTTGGTAATGTACAGATATGCTATGTTTGAACGATTCCATTCAATAAATCAACCTAATATTTGTGACGTTATTCGATGGAGCCTAAATCAACATTCTATAATTTAAACAATACGATTCTACAGAAATATGTGATTGTATGTACAAGAAAGTGAGTTGAGTGAAACGAGAACTTGAGACTGACGCAAGCGTAGTAATAGTTTGTGTCAGAGATGAAATTAACGATTGATTTGAACAGAACAATTGCCTTTGGCATGAGTAGATGATGTTGGAACGAATGAATCGTTTGTTAGGCAATATTTGGGAGATTAACCAGCCTGATGCAGCATTGATATTAAGGAGCAATATATAGCTAACGAGATTTTAGTGATGAGGAACGATACGTTCTAGTTATCGATGTTTCTAGTACAAAAGTTGTGATATTTTATTTTTACTCCTAGGAAAGAATCACATAAAATTCACATTATCTATAATATTCTTTACTGAAAATGAGCGTACCAGTGTATTAAAATATAGAAACATATGTACGACATTTGGAAATTTGCATTGACGATTCATATGTACTTATAGTTAGTAATATGGATAGTTATGGTAGAAAATGATATATGATTTTAATGGTTGTTTGAATGGTCTTTTACAAAAGATTTTCTACATATAGTTCACTAAAGTCTTTTGACCTACTGGCAATACGCGTATATGAGTTCTTGCAGTTGATATTTCGAGATGAAAACGTGTTATCCTTTCCAATATCATAACATGAGCAGACTCAGTTCTTCTTAAAATACTAGAGTCAGACTGAAACGCAAAGTAGACGACAGGACGTGACGTACCCTGACGTCAGTCAGTGATCATGACTCGAGTTGTATTTGACGGTTTGTGTACGATAGCGTATTGTAGTGTAAGTTACTAGAAGATTTACAATTTGGTTCTTTCAATAAACAAACTATAATGTCTGGTAAGCAGTTTTTGTTGCATTTAAGAATAATCTGTATTGGCCAATATGTTATTGTAGGGCAGTTGAACGAAAGTCAGTAAAAGTTAATCGTTTAAACAGGGCTATGGTCGCTTGCTTAACTTTGAAGCTTATTGTTATGTAGTTCATCCCTGCCGCCATCAAGACTTTCATTTCATTGAATCACTGTTATCCCATTTTAGTTTTTCTGCGCCGTGATGATTCAAATTCAAATTGGGGATAGTATATGCGAGTCAGCTGAAGCGGAGTGAGAACGCAAAAAATAGCAATTGTAATCTTGAATTTACATGCTACCGTGAAATCAAAAATTAATAAGATTCAAATACAGATATATTAAGCGATCACTGTTTTTTTTGGCAAATATAACTTGTTATATCGTATATCCTGTGATATCCTAAACTTTGAGCTTACTTCAGCTTAAATATACTCATAATTGTATGTGCAACAAGCACAACACACAACTCGACAAAAATCGGGTTCGCGCTACTTTCTGATATGCCGACTTTCTGCTCGCTATCCCAGCTGTTTGTTGGTAAGCTAAAACATGCGGAAGTGTCTATGACTAAATCGCTACGTCACTTCCGTTCGGGTATGAAATATTCACCCGTATTCACCAGTGCGTATGTGTATACAACGGTGTCATCACCAAGCACACAGCACTGTTAAAAACGTAGTTAACGTACCTTGTTTTCGCCTTATTTTATTAAGGTCGAAAAATGCAAAATTAGTATTCAAGACTATTACCAATATAAGGCTGCTCTTAAGATGAAATACTCGATGTTTAGCGTTTGTTAACCCCTCCGTTTAAAAGCAATTTAGGCTCTTGGTCTGTCCGTGATCGTGACAGGGCCTCATGACATGTTGCAGGCGACTAGATTCCATATTATATTCTCTTTATTGGCGTATTATATTACATGCTGATATATTATTAGTTCAGCACGAGTCAGCCTACAGATTACCCTTTTAAGTCACATGGATTAATATGTCATTATCGAATGCAATAACCCAATTAAAATAACATTTCATCATGTGCTGTGATTAAAATAATATGCGACATTGAAATATACTGGTCACTGGAGTGACAAAAATGTAATTGTTGGTTTTTGTAAGGTTTGATTTTTCGTTTTTTTTGGGGTAGCATGAAATAGCGGAATAGAATCGAATAGTTTAACTAAAGACTAGGGATGGCGGAATCGAGTCCGGATTCGATTACAGAATCGATTCTTCGCGGAATCGACTAGAATCGATTCCGATGCACCGGAATCGATTCTCGAGTTTGAAACTTGGATTGCAAACAATGTGTAACGTTTTGTGGCAATTTCTTCACATATATATATGTATAAACTGCTTCACTGCTATGTTGAGTTGCTACGACACCGCAAACTTCACTATATATAATATATATATATATTATAAATATCGCTAGTAGGCTTCAACGTTTATTTATTTTAAAAATCTCTGTGGGTTCTGAGGGATTCGTTTTTTTTTTGTGCGGTTTTGTTTCATGTGGCAGATTGGATACCCATACTACTTAGTTTCGGCCTTCTTGTCCGTCCAGAATTTGAACATCGCTGTCTTGCTTGATTTCATATGGTATTGCTTGGGTGGGTATATTTTTTCGGTAATATGTCGAGGAATCGAGAATCGGAATCGAAAATTTAGGAATCGGATAAGAATCGAATACTTGTAAGTACTCATACTTGGCATCCTTACTAAAGACCTGTTGTTAATTGATCTGTCTGTTTCGATATATTTGAAATGTGCCTTATGCATTTCTCAGAATTAAAAAAGGCAACCAGGCATTAAACAAAACCAGACAACGAAATCACATCAGATTTCGTTTCAAAAGGGCAGGCTAATCGTCATTACATATGAGCATGTGATGACCAAACGCCGAACCCTGTGTGCCATTTACTGGCCAGAGAATTGATCACGTGTTCAAATTTGACAGCTAATATTATATGAGAATCACGCACGGTGATAGATGAAATCTTTCACGAACTATAACGTGTATCATCACACTACTTTGCAAGCAGTTCTAGACTAGTCATACCTCGACAATGCAAAACTTCATTATCGAGCAATACGCTTTCCTGTATCTTTGAAAATAGTGAGTTAGTTATACACAGTGTTAGCTTGCCGTTATGACAGGCTAGTTTGAATAGTAGGATAGAACGATCTAAGGTAATATAACGAGTCTGGAAAGGTGGTTTCTGTATCTCGTAGTAAAGGGCGGGAAATACCTGGATGATATTACTACAACTAATATATATTTGCATTATTATAATTTTATGATCTTTCACGTTTCCAATTCATAAAAGGACCTAGACCAAAATTTTACTGACTAAGTTCACTACTAAATCATGGCGAAAATTGTTGTTAAATTTGGTCAATATTTTGTTTTAATCAAATTTTGTATTTTTATTTGTTAATGTGATTATAACAAAAATTAGTCATTGTTTGATATAAGCTACAATGCTAGTTAGATATAACGCCAAACAAATCTATGAAAAGTAACCTGAAGTAAGATGTAATGTTGTGGGTAGATAGGTATTTCATCAACTATTGAAAACTTCAACAAATATACTTATATTCACAACATCTGTTTTGAGAATTTGTTAAAAAAATCTTCAGATCGATTTACGATTTTTTTAGTACATGTCAATAATAGTTTACGTTTTTATTAATTCCATCAGCGGTTTACGTCCTTTCAAAAGCGTTTACCCTATTGTAAAATTACTACAAAATTCACTCAATATTTTTTTATTTTCTTGAATGTAATAGGAGGATTAAATACAATCATTTTGTGGGATGATATCGTCATTCATACATGCATGTGATTAAGCTCTCTAAATCATAAAGCAATTTAATGAAAGAAATATAACCGTATGTAGAGTATAGTTCCGTTACACCAGTTTTATCGCGTTATAAGTAACAGCTTACTAAGAAAATTTTTAAGCTGTCAAGTCAGATGCAATCACTTGTTTCCTCGTTATGTTGTCAGCTGTTTTTGATGGACAATATCGAGTTTGCGTATGAGCATACTGTAAAACGTCAAGAACGTATTTGTTTAGAATATGTTGAATTGAATATTGGTGAATAATATTGTTACTAATTCATTCAAGTAGTTGCCAGAGTTAGGTTCATTTCATTCTGTTTATATTATCAGTGTTAATGAAGTAGAATCTCATTAATAAAAAATTGTATTTTTACCTATTTTGAAATGACTGCTGAATTATATGACTCAGTATTAGAAATAAATTAGAAACTTCCTGACTTATTTCGACTTTCACCGTATCAGGTGAATTATCAATGGATAAATTTATAAATAATAAATTGGCTTATAACAATATACATTAATTCGTATCCTAAAGAAACATAAGGCACGCCAGTATTTAACAGACTTAATAAAACAAAACGACGGATTCGAACGCCTAACAATAAATTCGACATTTATTCGCCGTAGAAATATTATGAAAGTTAGATTGCTTATAGGGAATTGTTCGGGCCATAGGTTAATTTCTTAGTCATGTCAGTTATCTATAGTTTAATATTGATCGAGGCTATCATCTGATTGATTGAGCTATCTGAATTTCCGGGTGTGCAACAAGCTTTACTGGAATAATTGCTTCGATTTCATGATTACATTCTTGATTTGCACCTCGAGATGAGGAATTGTGTATTTAAGTTATCCAATATATATTTTGGCAATCACGTTACGCACGTTGATGCCTGATATAGGATGCCTTGCATTGAATATGAAGATTTTTCAGTCAATGAAATTTCCTTCCGCCTTTTTGTTACATGTTGGTTGCGTGATTAGATTCCAAAATTCAAATGCTTCAGTCGTAAAAAATTTTTGAATCCAATTTTAAATCGCGCACTTTCCTCTTTACCTGTAAAAAATCTTTTCCCTTTTAGTACCATGGCTTGTGACCATGTGTGTACTAAATACTGGTTTGGTACCACGGGAGGATAGATTTATTCTTTGTCGCATATTTATTTGTGAGGCTATATTTTGTTGTTTGATAACCCTTCAAATACCTTTGATGTAATAACAAGTTGTATTTTATTCATGTACTTTCCAGCTTCAAAAACACAGCTATCGTCATCTAGGCCACAAAAGTCACGAGGGAGCAGTGTATCCTCGACACAATCTAACGATTCAGATCAGGCGTCTAGATCGCCGAAGCAAAGACCACGTGGTGGGAGCGTAAAAGTTGGCGTGGTCAAAGAGGAGAAACGTAAAGGACCTCCTACGCCCACCAAACCCAAACCTGCTCACCTTAGGATAAAAGAGAATCATCTGGGAGACGCACGAAAGAAAGCACATTCCACTTCTGATCACACTACGGCTGGAAATTTGGTGAAAAATCGTGCGAAAATGTTCGACTCCAATACGGAAAACAGGACTCAAACTGATCGAACGTGAGTACCAACCGTTTTTATATTTTTATCAATATTTCTAATAATTTTAGCTTCAGGCACCGTAAAGCTTCCACTCAGAGGTATAGGGCGATAGAGTGAAATCGTTACCTTTCGGTTACAGTGTATCCAATTTGTGGCGGTCTTGGTGATATTCATCGTGTTTGGCCTCCGATGATATAAGGATATGGTATCGAATCTAACACTGCCAGACGATTCACGATCATTTATATATTAATATATAGATGTTTCCAAGTAATAAAGTGTTATATCTATAATTAATCAGTATCCCAGAAACGTGAATAAACGATCTTTCGTAATTAGCATAACGTGATATGGATTAGATATAGGAATGTTTGACTGCAACATAGGGCAACGTAATTTAACGTATGCTATAATTCATATTATAATATGAATAGAGTTTCGGAAAGTACTCTTCTGGATGTACTTGTGACAAAGATCTGCGTAAATACATAACATTTTGCATGTCGACAGTAGACTATATCATATTTGCTTCATGATTTCATATTGATGGTGTTTCCTTATCATTCTATTATTTCTATATTATGTTGAAATGGCTTGAAACAATGCAGATCTTTTGCAAATGTTATTATTTTCTAACTTATACTGGTTACGCACATCTAACTCACAGGCAATCACATTATTCAATGCCCAATAATTTACATAACGTTCAAGTATCACTCGTATAAAAATCAAAATCTTAGGGATAGGCATATATATGATTTAAGAGGATAATTTCAGATACCTAGTTAATTTTGAATTTATGTTGATGTTATGAGTTATAGATATTGTTAAATCAAGTTGAGTAAGTGAGTATCTGTGTACAAAAGAGAATATGCTATTTTACATCGCGTGTCAAATATTTCATCAATCAAGAGTTAGCTTCCGCGAGGTGGCCCGGGAGAGTCAATATTTTATCTCTTCTTCACTAAGACATATGACATCGATTATATATATATACCTTGTGTGTTATCATATCACTTTCTCTGTTCAGGAAAATTGCTTTTATTACTGTACGTCATATTTTCTATAATCTCGTAGAATCGATTCCAAATTTTCTACCATTTCCATCAATCAAATTTTCGCCAAATACCGATTTTGAATTTTAAAACTTTGATAGGAAATTCGCGTCAATTTCAAATAAACCATTGATCGGGTAAAGCATCTTGTGCTAGTCATTATTCATATCAATTATCATTTAGCGCCTACGCTTCACAAAGCTCTTTGATGACGTTATTTCGATTCAATATTATTTATTTATTTTTCGTCTACTTTTGAGTTACATACCAAACAGCAAATTATGAATATCAAGTTTTATAAGTCACAATGTAAATTGTATATACAGTAGGACAATGAAAACTATTATTTAGATGTAAATTGAGACGCAAACGAGGTGTCTGTCTTTTGATGATTCACGCAACGTCCAGACAACGCGAATCTTTTTGGGGAAAATCACTTTCGTTTACGCTCGTCTTAACACGGATTAACGAATTAAAGTTATTACGCTATTGTCTCACCTGTTCCAAAGTGACATTTGATGTGTCAACTCTCAATAATAAGACTATTGTGAGTTTTTTTGGCTATAGAAGTCATGAAATATTTTATTTTTGCTGGTTGAATAATTTATTATTCAGATCGTCCATACATCGTGTTTCGTATATATATTAGCTAAAAAGCTAATGGTATTCGTGACTTAACCCCTGATTCATGTAGTTATTATTTTCGGTCGTATTTAGATAACAAATGAAAAGTTATAAATAACATTCGGAACGTATTGCATTTATTCCCCTTTGGAATACCTTGTACAATATAGTCGATGCACTGCAGCATGATGCAGAAAATGTTCAGTTTTGGCGAAATATTATTATATTTTTGTTTCATGCGGTGAGTTATTTCGAATTATAGTGCTGAATTCTATTCGTACCCCAATTACTCTCTTCTATCAAATTGACATCAAAATGCATGTAATATGTTTGATCTAAATTCTTTACTAAATCACAATTCCTTGTCATCATTTTGCTTGTGAGCTAGACTGACAATATGAGCAATACATTACCGGGTATATAGACCATTAAAAGTAAGGAAAAAGCGCAACAGAAACTAATATGCATATAGCAAGTCGCAAGCCATTGTTTTAAAGGTGAAAATACATCGGTGACACACAATATTTTAAATCCAAATTACATAAAATAATTGCATATGGGCGCATAAAGGATCATTGTCTTGCCAAACGGGTGAAAATCATACCATGGCAAAACTTTGTTTGACTTCCCTAATCCTAACAAGACTCGAAGAAAAAGAAACATTCATCATTTTCATGTTATTTATATTTAATCAAAGTTATTTTATTAAACTATCATGGCGATGATGATATTATTAATTAAACCGTTTGATCATATATACAAAGTTTTTAGTGTCATTTTACTATCCCTAATTTGAACGGTTTATATCAATCTTCTATGGAGTAAACACACCTGAACTAAGGTAATGATGATTTACATTTATCAGCACTTCACAATTCGAGTTCAGCGGGGGCGTTTACGTGGTTGAGGTTGTTGTTGATAATCCACTTAAAATTGCGCGTATTAATATGAAAACTCATGGTTGACTGACTGACTACATGATTCTTTGTGATAGTTTATCGTGTTGCAATAGTCTTATATGACGAAATTAGAAATATAGTTAGCTCTTTACAACGTTTTGAATATGTAAAATCACTTTCAGTTTTACACCGGTTTCAACCGGTCAACATATTACACCTAAAACTTAATTTTTAGTTTCTACGATTCGAATTCTCTGAGCCCGAATCTGTTCTCACACATGAAATCTATTTATGTTAAACTCAGTGAATTAACTATATAACTGACTTAATTATCATTGTAACGGATATGAACAATTCTACATAGATTTGATTTTGAATGTTGTTTTCAGTCTGTGAAACATAATGTAGAGTTAAAAATAGCGACGATGCAAAGCCGGCCGGCGTTAGTGATCCCAAGTGGCCAATAAAAACAAAGTCATCGATTTGACACCACGCAGTACAAACCACAAAACCTATTATGAACTTGTGTATTGTAATCAAAGACGTACATCTGCCGAGCAGTGTCGTAATTTCTATATTTACCTACGGAAATGCGAAGCATAATATGTCATTCTTGATCAAGATTGACCAATGCTAAGTACGTTCAAAATTTAGAGATTTGAACTTGGTCCAACGCATAAAAACAACACAACGACGTCAGAAATAGTAGGGGAAAGTGGGGAAGGTTGGGACACTTTTTTTCTTTTGCATATTTTGAGCCTTTAATTCTGCATATTCACTTAAGTTGGCGGGACTAATGCATAGAGGGGTAAATGTAGTTTTTATTCAGCGACTAAGAAATTCCTTTGCGACACACATCTTACTACCAAAATGCTTTGAAAAACGTCTGTCAAGTGTCCCAATGTACCCCACTTGTGGGGCACATTCGGACAGACCCTGGGGCACAATGGGTCAGTCTGTCAAAATTCAACGAAGTATGCCTTTAAAAATAGGCAATTAATCAGAATAATCGCCTGCAGAACAGGGAGACTTTAAATTTGAAGCTTTAATATTTTCAAAATCAATGTTCAACTGAAATAGTTCAGATATTTTGACAAAAAAATTCGCAAACAAATTTGATTATTTCTTTCCTCGAATCTAAATCTGAAAATAATATTGATTCTCGAATATATATATATTCCATATTGGGCCATGGGTCGGAAGAAACCATAATATTACACAAAATATAACGCATCTCTAGGTCTCTAAGCACTTATTGTATCAAACACTGTCGAATTGTGCCTTGTAGGGCATGTCCCACTGAACCCCGGTCCATTGTTCCCCATAAGAAACAAATATTTTCAGACCATCCCACGGCGAAATTCGGAAGGCACATCATCTCGCCAACGTTATGAATATTCTACAGTTGACTAAAGCTGAAAAATATCAAACGGTGGTTTGTCATGTTGGGAAGTCTAAAGTAGAAAAAAGAAAAAACTGGAACGGTGAAATTTTAGTTTCAACCTCCCAAAACCAATTTGACCTCATAGCTTGCGCCGCTCTACCCGTCCGTTGTCCGTTCGCGGGGACGTTGTAACTCACCGAAGGGCGGATTGAAACGTCGAACCGCGGACGGGATTGCGGATATAGTATCAGTGTGAGAGCTGATTTTCCACTGTGCCCCATGTCCCAACGTGCCCCACCTTCCCCCTAGTTTGTATAGTACTGCAGCAAACCCAGGAATACATTTCCAAAGGGATTTTCGTCTTACTAGAGCCCATCAGACTTCAATCTAATTAGTGGAATTGTTACATGTAATTATTTTATGCTGTCATAAGGCAAATTACATGGAATAATGAAGCAAATTGTTTGTACCGTTTTAACGTCTTGCGCATTTCCAACATCGCAACTTGATAATAAAACTTATATTTAGCACTAAATATATTTTTTGCATAGTTATCAGCTAATCACATTATTGCAAATGACTCCTAATGACAGCCGTCAGATAAAGAAATTCATTCATCCAGAAATATAGAAATAGTCTTTTCTCACCTAATGACTTCTTTATTAGTTGAGGAAATTTGTGATATTTGATGAGGTTCTATTGTCATAAGATAATGAAAGGGGATTTCAGAATATCCTGTGTGTAGTTCTTGTCGTGGCGTTAGACTTCAGTATTATTCTAATTTGAACAATGTTTTATATTGGGAATAGAAAAATTGCGACTAGTGTCGTTACCGATCTTCTGGTCGTGCGTATAATAGATGAAATTCGTGACGTTACGAACGTTACTTTTCCCTTAGTCAAAACACAACAGTTTCAAAAACAAATAAAACTGTTTAATCCAAATTTCGTAACTCCTAATTTTGGTTTTTCTTACACTTAGCAAAAGCATGTATGTTGCTTTTTGAAAATTAGTACATTGAACAGTAAACAAAATCATCATATTCCAATCATTGCA